TGGATGAGCAAGGTAGCCATTTTAGCATACACTGATACCAACATGTAGGTTTAGGTGTTGAGAAGTGTTAGAAGTGAATTTTGCAGCAGAATATCTGCTCTGCCAGCCAGCCTCACAAGTCATCATCACCTGATGATATTCAGGAATGTGATGTAAAGAAGCTTTCCTGTTAGAAACTGTGGTCATTCATCAGAATCAACACTGTTTTTATCAGTAGATAAAATTCAATGCAAACAAAAATAAGAGGAGATTGTTTTCTACTTCAGAATCATAAACGGAGAAGGAAACCAAGGAAACACAGTGGTTATGAGAAAGTGAAAGTAGATTGTTCCGTGCCTACCCTTACAGCTCCTAACTCGGGTAGTATTGGATTTTGTAGATTATCTTGTCATATCTCTCTTAGACATAAACAAACCATTGAGACCATAATGGAGAAAGAGGGAACACAAGCATGCTATACGTGCACAACTGGTGACCTTACAGGTTGATCCAGTGAGGCAAGACTGGCAGCACTGTTATTATAAAAGAGACCTCTGGTAATTTTTGCCTCACCAAGAAAACAAAAAGGTTGGCAAGGGCTGTGCAATGTTTCCACAGTGAAAAGTTTAAATTCTCTGATGGGTAAAACAAATTTCCAAAAAGAAAAATCTCAAAAACAAATAATTTGAAAAATCATTGCTACTCCCAAATATCAGCAGCATACGATACTGAACATTAACATTTGAATTTATTTAACAACTTCAAGAAGAACCACTGAGTAAAGCTGACTCCTTATTGAGAGCAGCCTTGTACCAGAAAAACAAGGTGACTAAATCATAATACAAGAAACATAGTATTACCACAGAACTGGAGAAATAGGAAAAGCACACAAAGTATTCTTCAAACAGTGACAGTCTATGCTAGTTTCAAGAGTGTTGGAAAAGGATGTGAGAATAAAAAGTGCAAGATAAAGATGAGCTCATGTTCACATCCATCAGCCTGCCAAAATGGTCTAAGACCAGAAGAATGGCCCTGTGTGCTTCCCAGGAATGACAGAACTGTCAAGGCAAATGGAACATAAGATTATATACAGGCAACTGAGTCATAATTACCCAAAACACTGAGAATAGAAACTCTCAGAGGAAAGAAGGTTCAGTTTGTAGCTAAACAGAGTAGGAAACACTGCATACTGAGAAGATGAGATAGAACATGAATAATCATCATAGCCGGGAGAAATTCTAGTACATGTGGCAAAATAGAACAGAAGTATATAGGGTCTTCAACAGGCATTAAAGCAAACTAAATAACAGTTTCTTTCCAAACGAAAAGAAAAGATGGAAACATATTTTAGTATTACAGGCAGCTAGTCAGACTTTTAGGAACCAGGCAGAATGTCAGAAGCTTCCACAGCACTCACTGAGGACATAGCAGTGAAGTGTTTAAGCATTCCTGAACTACGTAGTTCCAATCACGAGATCTCAGTTTACTTTAAATTAGACAATATATTTTTTTGAGAACAAGAATTTGATTTCATCTGACTATCCCTTATGATAGTGAGGCAAGTAAGTAGCAAAGCTGAGTTTGCTATAGAGTTTGCAGAGAGTTTTAAAATGCTGTAAACAGCAAAGAGAATATTTAGCATTCCATTCCTCAATACTGAAAATATTCCCACAGAAAAGTTTACTTCAGCTGAGTACAGTGCTTGAAGTCATGTTCAGTAACCAGCAGTGGAAACAGTAACAGATGAAAACAGTAGGAAAAGGGCCAATGGTAAGCGTTGCAGAATTACAGCTCTGATTTATACTCGTATATAGGTTAATTATTCAAGATAATTCTTATACAGGAAGCAACAGACATTTTTGAAGGGATAACTCCCAATTCTTAAACCAAAGGGATTCTTTTAACAAAGAGAAGAAATCCCAACCTGGAGTATTTTGAAATGATGCATCTGGATGATGAGAAAGATACAAATGTGTAATGAAGTGTTTATCAGTAACACACACACACACACACACACACAATAAAAATAAATAGATTCTAGCTAAGAGGAACTGGAAAAATGGGAGGTATGAATCAACAAGTCCTCTTAGTCTGCTTTTAATTGTGCTGAACATTCTTCATTATAGACTTTCAAATTAAATGGTCTTTATGAATCTCTGCCTTGTTATTAAAGCATTTTGTTTGTGTTTCTCTGTGCTCAGTATTGCTATGGCCACTGTTACACGAAGATTTCAAAAGACTGTTAAAGTTCATACTTCCTCATTCTCAAAAAATGACAGAATTATCTCCCTTACATAAAAACCCAGTCCCAACCTGGATTAATTTAGCAGAAAGCTGTGCACAGGACAAAATATTAGATTTTTTAAAGGAAAGGCAGTAACTTGATTGCTATTATGTCCTGTTAGGCAGGGGCAATTCAATTAAGACTGCATCACGCTGCTGTTGGAACTGGTTATGTGCTTGAGCTAATGTTCTGCTCCTTCTGATTTATATCTGTCACCTTCATCAATGCTAAAGACAGTGTATACAGCTTTCAAAAATCTAAATAAATCCCTCTTCAAAGCTTAATTTCATTGTGTCAACTAAAGGAAACTAGGTGACTTCTATTTATATATTCATTTTATTTCTACTCATTTATATTACAAAAAGAACTGGAGAGTTTCAAAGTGGCTTTGTTGGTAGTCAACTTGCTGAAATCATGCTGCAAAATGGGACAGGATCTGAGATTACTGAGAAATGAGCAATTTTGTTGCACACAGTATTTTTCAGCACTTGCCAGCTCAGTAATTTCAACAGAATGGCAAAAATCTTGTCTGTATTCAGCACTGACCTCACACCAATTTGTGGACTCCCTACCAAACCTATGAAAAGCTGAACAGTGACAAAGTATTGGTGAGCTGGGGCCTGGAGCATCTTCCTTATGAGGACAAAGCTTGAGAGACCTGGGACTGTTCAGTCTGGAGAAGACTGAGGAGGAATCTTATCAATGTTTGTAAGTATCAAATGGGTGGGAATCAAGTGGATGGGGCCAGGCTCTTTTCAGCACTGCCCAGTGACAGTACAAGGGGCAGTGGGCGCAATCTGGGACACAGGAAGAACTTCTTTACCGTGAGGCAGGCATAGCACTGGAACAGGCTGCCCAAAGAGCTCGTGGAGTCTCCTTCTCTGGAGATATTCAGAACCGTACTAAATGCTTTTCTGTACATCCCACTGTAGGGACCTCCTGTAGCAGTGGGATGCACTTGAAGGTCTCCAGAGGTCTCCGTGATTGTGTGATTCTGTGAATGATGCTTGATTTACTTCAGGTTTTCCTTTGCGCCTACAGCTCTGCTGCTGGAAGGATGAAGCCCAGCTGGCACACAGTGCTCAGCTCTGCTGCCATCCTAAAAGATCTCTCCCTAGTAGGGTGGTCTTTGACTTCTATTTTAGCAGTGTTAGGGGTGAGGTTACACTCACACTGAAGCCTTTCCCGTATGAAGTCCCAAGTCCACCATCATTCAGCCTACAAACACAAAACCCTTCCTGACAACGACGCTGTATCTTTTCTTTTATGAAACCACGTGGAAATGGACTTATGGGCTTAAAAATGTTAGGAGGTAACGGACATTTTAAGGGCTAAGTTTTGTCGTAAGAGCGAATCCATCCGCTGGGCGATTCCCGTGACGGCAGCGCCCACTCTGGAACGGAGCGCTTTCAACACCGCAATGGCGGATCGCCCTTCCAGAGGAGCGCGCCGAATAACGGCTCGAGCCGCCGCAGCCCCCCACCGTTAGGGCGGGCCTGGAGGTTGCCTGGCAACCGGGCGGCGCCTCCTTCACTCCCCGCGTGGACCCGCTGCGGCCCAATAGCGGCCTCGGCGTCCGGCCCTGTCTCCTGGAGACGGGGTCACGGCGGCGACCACCGGAGTGGTGCGCGGGGGAGAGACGGCAGGCCTTCCTGGCGCTCTGCGGCGTTTCCCTTATCGAATAAGAAAAATAAAAGCCATCTTCCCGAGTCACGCCGTGTGCTGTGCTGGTTCTTCTCCTTCTGACTCTTTCTTTTAGGTGCGTGGCGCTGGGTTCCCCGTCGGGACACATCTACGTCCCCCCACGGCGGAGCGTGCGGCGCTCCACCGGGTTCAGTTGATGGCGGCTTCCTTCTTGCGGTCACGGCCGTGGTCGCCTCGCAGTCGTCCAGTAGCTGCCTGCCTTTCCGCTGCCGCCGGGCCCGGAGCTCCCAGGTGTGATCGCGGCGGCGGCCCGCTGTGCCATATCCCCATTCGGTACCCCGGCTGAAGGCCTGCCGGTGGGGACGGCTGCTCTCTTCCTGGTAGCCTCTCGCAGAGCTGCCGGTTGAGACCGTATCTGCAGGTACAGCCTGTCTAGAGGTAGTGGTCACGGGGGTGAGCAGTGAGGTGACAATCTGCTGCTCTGGCACCTTTGTGAAGCAGAGGAAGATGTTACTTTTTCCGGTCTTTGTTCAAGCTCTCGAGAAGAACTTAAGGGATACTTCGGTGACAGGAAAGTAGACCCACATCCGCTCCTGTCTTTGTGCCTTGTTTGGCAAACTGATCATTGCGTAATTGACCATCTGTTTTCACAGTTAACTGGAGGAAAAAGATGTTCCTTCTAAGGTTATGCTGGCTATGCCTGCCTCTTTGCTTACTGTGAGGCAAAATCAAGTTAATTTACATTTGGCATTTGTTGGTGTGTTTATTGGGGTGTAGGTGTATGTGTTGCAGGAGTGTTTCACAAAATGTTCTGTCTAAAGATTTGGGAATTCTCTGGTCTCATTTGGCATTTAGTTTGTCATTTGAGCTTTGTGTCTCAAGAAAGGTAGTGAAATTGAGTTTGTGGCTTGTAATCAGCACAGTTTAAGCAGCCTTCCTCTCTATCCTTGTTGCTGTACTATCCTCTGTTTTTTTTTTTCTGTAGTTGTCAGGTAACTATATTGAGAACTGGTCTTGTTGAAAGGAAAACAACAGTCCACAAACAAAATGAAAGAATTTGGTGTTAAGATGAGAACAAGCAACTCCAAATGGCTGTGAAATATTTCAGTTGTTAGTTGGAAGAACTGGGCACTGAATGTGGAGTTGGTTTGGAACTGGAAGAACTTACTGGAAGGTGCTGGTTGTGTACTAGGTAGCAATATATTCTGATTTTGGAACATTTGTAACAAATGGCAAAGGTTTAATTTGTTTCACTATGTAAATTAAACCGTATAAAATTATTGAAACAAAAAATGGTAGTTATAAAATTTTCTTGTGGAACTTTTTGAGTCCCACAGTTGGGGAGTAAAAATCAATTGTTTCTATCCATGAAAAAAATTTCTAATGCTAACTCCTATAACTGGTAAAGCTGCAGGCATCTTAGTGTTGTTAGGAATGCTAATCCCTGTGGGGTTCTTTTTCTTTCTTTTTCTAGTTATGCTGATTAGATCAGTTATTTATCAGGCTTAAATTACAGGGTAAAAAGTTACAGAGGAAATCTGCCTGGTGTGCCCTTAAGCAGAAATGGCAACTTTACTTGGTAAAGATTTCAGTTTAGAATAATTTCCTGTATCCAGCATTTTTATGCAGAACTTAACATTTTAAGTTCGGTAGCATGATTTTTATTTACAGATAAAATATTTAGAATCTTTAGTTACTGGTTCACCTGTAACTTGTGGAATGTGTGAAGAGCTTTCCAACTATTTTCTAGTTACCCATTCAAAATTTTGTTCACATTTCCCAAGGTGATCTTTGAACTTAGATCCTTCCAGCAAGATGAAACATAATTTCTATTTTTTAAGAATTGGGAGAGTAAATGTGATACATTAATATTTTTAAATTTGATTGCTTCCTCTCTCTCCCTTCTTCCTTTAAAGGTTTTTCTGACTAAGAAAATACCATGTTTCCAATCCCTTACCAGTAAAGCATCCTTAAGTATGGAGAACTTCATTCTTTATGAAGAGATAGGAAGAGGAAACAAGACCATCGTTTATAAAGGAAGAAGAAAGGGGACAATTAATTTTGTTGCCATTCTTTGCACTGATAAATGCAAAAGAGCTGAAATAACAAACTGGGTAAGTAAGACAAGTTTGGGAAAAGATCAAACTTAAATAAATAAACAAACAAACAAACAAATAAATAAATCCTTGTTGCAGAAAGAAAAACGCTGAATGCTGAAGTGTTTATTTCTATCACCTGGCAGTGTTCTTGTTTAAATTGTATGCATACTCTCAGTTTTACAGGCTTGCTGGTTCTATGATATGTTAACGTACCTTTTATAAAAAGTAAGTGTTTGTGTAGTGGTTGACTTCATTTTTCTGAGTTATGTAAATCCAGTCCTAGTAGTGCATTCCAGTAAATAATAATTTCCTTAAGAAGAAATTACTTTAATGAAAGAACAGTATTTTAAGTATATACATTTTTGTTTGCAAAAGGTTGGCAAAGTTTTAAACATTTGCTTTCTGGATAAGGAATGAATACTGGTACAGTTAAACATTTGAAATGTTTCATTTTTCCAGTTGACACATTTTGTTTAATATTCACTCTCATTGCTTTTGTGACTCATAAATCTTCTCCACTCAAATCTTTTTTCCCTTCAAAGCATATTCCCCTCAGAAAGTACCTCACACATGGCTCTGACAGGATTCAGAGATTTCTGTAGACATGAGGCTAGGTGTGGTAGAAATAGAGACTTTCAGAGACCCTGAGTGATTGCTTCTGCTTGATAAGACTGAGGGGGGAAAACTCTTTATTTCTCCTTATTTACCATATTTTCTCGCAATTGTGTTCTCACTGAATAAGAAAGTAGATCTCCAAGTTTGACTCCAAATTCTCATTTACAGTCTGTTAGTAGAAATGCAAAAGAGTTAAACAGTGCTTATAAATCAATAATATCTCTGTTTCATTGGTTGGGAAACTTTCTCATATTGCTGGAAAAAGTTCAGTAGGCCAAGCGTGAAGAGGAAAGTTTTCTGTTCTCAACTTACATGTAAAATTAATTTGAATTGGAGATTAATTTTTAACTATTAAGTGTAGTGGACTAGGCACAGGAATGAGTAGATGATCTAGCATAAAGCTGTGTTGTCTCCAATTCTCCTCCAATCCATATACATAAAGATATTTTTTTCCCACTAATAATGTTAAGAACTTTGTTTTAGGTTCGTCTGACTCATGAAATCAGACACAAGAACATAGTGACATTTCACGAATGGTATGAAACAAGCAACCACCTGTGGCTTGTAATGGAGTTATGCACAGGTAAAAAGCTCAGATGGACAAAAATAAATAAATATATAGTACAGATATTTGTAGTTTTTTTTTTTTTATAATAAATGTTTCTCACAAAAAATACTTATTTCAGTCTTCAAGAAAATCGCATATTACTTTGTATGCAATCAACATTTTATTCATATTATACTGTTTTTGAGAGAATTACCTAATATTGGAAGCCAGTTGCTTAACAGTAATTCTGTTGTTGGTCTTGATTCGTAAGAGGTTGAGTTTTCTGTAGGACTTGTGCATTCATGCTTGGTTTCTGTTATTTGTGGGTAAAAGGATATAATAAAGCAGGACAGTAGAGGGATAAAAAGCTGCCTGAATGTTCTCTCACTGTGGTCATAGTTAATAAAGCTTCTGTCTGACCTGCCTCAAATTGTACTTGTGTCATTGTGCACTTGGAAATGCTATGTTCACAGCAGTTAGTTTCAAGACATTCTTAGCAGCAAATGTACTTGTGAATAGGATGATTGTTGAATTTCATACTAATTTTGTAGAGCAACACTTTAGTGTTGCTGATTTCATTATAAATTTTTCCTGGTATATTTGTATAGCCATCTAAAATACATTATAAAAGTGTTAAAATGTTGTAAAATTCTTTACCAAGTCATATATTCTGAGGCTGGTTCTAAAGGTAAGACTGTTTTTTATAAGCAACATAAAGACTTAGAGCAACTGTAAGATTCAACATCATTGAGTAATTTGCAGAATAGTGATAAACCCGAACATCTCAGTATTCTCTGAAGTAAATCAGTAAGCAAAGGGGAAAAAAAAAGCTCAGGAAAATATTATGTAGTTTGAAATAAAATATTTATTATCCTTCTCCATGGACCCTGGGATCCTGGGATTTTACTATTTTTATTGTCTGTGAATTCAGTGGGAAATTCCACATCATAAGTTCTGCTGCTTGTTCACAGATACTGATAGCCTGATCTTGGTACTGCTTCGTCTCATGCGGAAGGATCTGAATAAACCCACTGGGTTGCTATTGTGTTGTGACAGTATGAGTTTCATGTTTTCCTTTCTGCTTCCTTTGTAAAATAAATCAATATGAAAGTGTTTTTAAAAGTCATGCCCTCAATTTAATTGCAGTGAAAGTTTATATCACAATCTCGGAAGTAGATTTTTCTTTTCTATACATTTTCATATTTTTAATGTGTATCGGTAATGATTTTTTACTTGACAGTTTTGGAAGACTTTCATCATGTCATTGTGCATGTAAAGCAAATGCCATGTAAGTAATTCCTTTGCTGACCACGTGTACACATATTTCAGGTGGTTCACTAGAATCAGTTATTGCCCAAGATGAACATCTACCTGAAGAAGTAGTGAGAGAATTTGGTGTAGATTTGATTGCCGGTTTACACCACATTCATAACCTTGGGATTATCTTTTGTGAGCTGACACCTGGAAAGGTAACAAGGAGTATTATTTGTAGTGGATATCACATATTACTTTGTATGCAATCAACATTTTATTCATATTATACTGTTTTTGAGAGAATTACCTAATATTGGAAGCCAGTTGCATAACAGTAATTCTATTGTTGGTCTTGATTTGTAAGAGGTCGAGTTGCCTGAGTTTTCTGTAGGACTTGCACATTCATGCTTGGTTTCTGTTATTTGTGGGTAAAAGAGCAATAAATGGAAGTGAATATATAAGTAAAGCATAATGGAAATGCCTCTGTATTTTTCTGAAGAAGAATGTGTTTAAAAAAAAAAAAGTAAAGACTGTAAAGTACTCTTTTGAACACAGAATACAGAGTGAAAAAGTAAGATCCTCCCCTGCCCCTCTCCCAGCTTCCCCCTCAGCCCATGTCTAACCAAATGAGTGATTTTTTTTCCAGACAATTTTGGGGGGATTATAAAGACTGTAATTAGGAAATCACTGACTACATAGGAAGAACTTATCGTTATAAAATCATGAAGCTTTTTGTCCAGCATAAAATTAAAAAAACAAAACAAACACTTTTTTTTTTGCCTAAAATGAATGAATGTTCCTTTTACTATCCTTTCACTTTAAACACATTTTTACTTTAACTCTTATTTTTACTTTCTTTTCTACAGTAGCATCATCCATCATCATTCATATCAGCTTAATGATGAGCCAACAAAAATGTGAATGGAACCATTAATGTTGTGTTGTCACCTTACGTGATTTTTTTGGTTACAAGAAAAAAAGTGATTTGTTTTGACTTAAATTTCTCAATGCTTTTATATATGATAGTGATCATCTCTATTTACTTAAATGATTAAATTATTGTGATTTAATATAGTTTGTACTGGAAAATAGTGCAGTCTCCGGTGTTAATATCTGCTATGCTGGATTATGTTTATTCCTCTAGATTCTGCTGGAAGGGCCTGGCACTTTGAAGTTCAGTAACTTTTGCTTGGCTAAAGCAGATGGAGAAAACTTGGAAGAATTTTTTGCTTTAGTTGGGTCTGAAGAAACAGGAAGAGATGTTGTTGAAAGCACTCCACAAAGACACCTGAAAAACAGACTTCGAGGTAGGATATTTTTACCAGCTAAAATTAAGCTAAACAGACAGAATGAAAGTGGGAAAAGACTGTTGTTATGCATGATTTTTGAGATAAGACTCGAAGAAGGCAGTTGATCAAAATTCTGATGTGGCTTACTAAATTCCTAGAGAAACAGAATAATTCTGCTATGTCAACATCTGTAAATAATGGCCTCTGTGTGATATGCAAGTTTTCTTAGAGTAGATTTTGCGTATTCTCCATGGAGGGAATTTTTTTTTTCCCAGGTAGGCTCAGAACAAAAATTTTGCTGTTAAGGAAGATTGTTAAGATGGATTGTAAGACACAGAGGGAACAACACCTGAAAGTGAGGAAGAAGAACAGAAACTGTTTAGAAATATATAGTCATAATTCTAAAGACAGTATAAGCAATGGAAAAATGTACTTTTGTCATGGAATTTTTGATAGATTAACAGTTGCTTACCTTTCTGTCTTGTTCTAAATAGACTTCATGTTATTTTTGATTTGAAGCTTATATGTAGGCAATTATAAAAATACTGTAGTATGTAAGATTTCCACATAACTGGATTATTTTGAATTGCTTTTTGCAGTTGGCATTTCATACCATCTAATGCACAAACTGCCTTTCTATCCTGAGCAAATATCATATATGGATGTGATCTGAAACTGCTCAAAGTAGTTAGTGAATTGAAAATGCTAATTCTTCATTTGGGTTTGCTAAGGGGGCTTAAGTAATTAGCTTTTTAATGATAACTGATGTGGATGTAAAAAAAAAAAAAAAAAAAAAAATCTGTGAAATACCTTTGGTCCTTGATGCATTTCACATATTACCAATTAAGTATAAGTAGTAGAACTATAAAAATAAGAAAATCACTGAAGCTTCAGAAATGCTGAATCTTAACTGATTATCCTAATTGACAAAATTATAATTTTACTACTTATCATATATGAAAACAGTATTGCTGCAGATGGTCTCTCTAGGGTCTAGGGCTAATTTCCATTAAATTTATATTAAATGTATGCACAGTTCAGTACGTATGATACTGAATTGCTTCTACTTTGATTAGAGATTTTGTATCCATTTAACAATAGTTTAGAGAATGGCTTTTGTGGTTTTTGACACAAGATTTTCACCATACTTTTTGCTTCAAGTGGTCTGTGTAATTTCCAGTCTGATGATTAGTTGTTTCAGTACCATTTACATAAGAAAGATTGTTTATTTTTGAAGCATGAAGAAGCTGTTAGTGTGCTTCAATTTCGGGAGAAAAATCTATGCAAATCCAATGGGCTACAACTGCTGTGCTACATTTTCATCAAATAAGAAAGCTTTAGAATTTTGGCTTTCCTTTTCAGAATCTTTCAATAGTTTGTGTCTAGGAGCATCTGAGAGACCTCTGTTTCTCTGATAATGAGGCATCATTGCAGTTGCTGTCATCTGGAACAGCGGAAATCTTGGCAATGTGTTATGGGAACAAAGAGCTTTCTTAGTACTTTAGCACCTACTGCAATTATGAAGGCCAAGAACAGGATGTGTTTTGTTTTTTTTTTTTTCCAGAAAGAAATGTAAATGTAATCTCTTTCCTGTTACCATCTAAATCAGCTTTTTCTTTTTTTTCTTTTTTTTTTTTTAAATGTATATTTAATAACCTGTTGTCACTTAAAATAAATAAAATGGATAGCAAAATCCAAAATAAGCTTCTTAAAGGATTATGGAATTTACGTTTTTGCTGAGATTTTGTAATTTTTAGGGAGGTTTTGGATAAACTAGTAGTATTTAGGATAGGCACAACTAGATCAGTGATCTAATTTATGGATCTTGTTTATTGTAACAGTTTTCTAATTTCACGTGAGTTAAAGTCTTAGGATAGCTCTCTTTTTAATAAATGTAAAACCTGATGTAGCCTAATAATTTTTATTAATCACATGAGATTTCTATTGGTTTAACATACTCAGTTGGCTTGGCTGTGGAAGCTGTCAAGATAAATTAAATTAAAAAAAAAAAAAACAACTTCTTGCATTAATCATGTTAGAGAAGTATAAGCGCAAATGCAAGTGAAATTAACAAGAAAATGGCTTCTGCAATCCTACATAATTCAATAAAAAAAGGAGGAAAATATTCTTTTCAAATTCCATTTGGTATCTCATGTTTCATACCTCTAAGTGAGGATTCCTACGCTTCAGTGAGTTAGAGATTAAGTTTCAGGTGTTCTACAGGACTGATGTTCAATCGAGTGTATTTGTATGGTATTTTGTAGGCTCTCCATTATACACAGCTCCAGAAGTAATAAAGGGAGAAGACTTCTCCAAGTCCAGTGATCTGTGGTCCTTAGGATGTTTACTTTATGAAATGTTCTCAGGTTGTAAGTTTGTGTATTTCTTTGATATCTGTGATAACGAAAACCTACTTTGTGATCCCAATTTAAATTCTTGTTTATTTTTTAAGGAAGTAAAAAGAGAGAAAGATATATTTAAGAGAGGTAATAAAAATTTCTTGAAGAATACATTAAATATGCTTAAGAAAAACAACTTGTCAAGCAATCAGCTGAAGTAATACTGCTAAATTGTACTTCTGCCTGAATTCCAAATGTAATGATATTAACCAACCCAAATCCCTCAAATACTATGATTTGAAAATGTAGCAGTACTTGTTTGGACAACGTAATGTTCTTAATCTCCTCAGTATTAAACTCTGGATGCATTAATTTGACTTCGGAGGGAGAAAAATTTAACTAGTTTAAAACTGGTCGTTGGCTTTCCTGCAGATAAAGTTAGCATTGCCTGCAGCTGGAAGGAAATTTTCAATGCAAAAGAATTACAGTGCAGTAGTCTGAAGTCTTAGACAATACACAGATCTGTCGGATTGGCGTACTCTGCTCTTCCCTTCTCCAGCTGCTATGTCATTATGGATTCTTTCAGAGCATTCATGATGGCCTACCTCAAGCTGTCTTTAGAACATGTTCTGTCCTTGGTCTCTTTGGTGGTTCTCAGTAGAATATAATCCAAGGACTTATTTTTAAGTGAACCTTTAAATTCAAATCAAGGATGCTTATTGCTTTGAATATTTCCTTAGGAAAATGAGCTCATTGTATATAATTGCACCTGACAGCCATTTTGAAATTTGCATAACTGAAAAAATAAACTTCCATTTATTTTAGGAAGACCACCATTCTTCTCAGAGAACTTTTCAGAATTAATTGAAAAGATTTTACATGAAGATCCACTGCCACTGAGGCCCAAGGGTAACGTTCTTCTCTTGTTAAATGTGTCAAATTGAATCTATAGTAACAAAGTTTTGCTTTGCAGTGTTTATTCTGAGGCTGATTGCAGGAATTGTTTTGCTGTCCAAAGCGAATGTTACCTTTGCCGTTCCTTTGCTATGAACATCTTCCATTAGTGATGAATGCTTATATCTCTGTTGATAAAACGTGTATCATTTAGTGTTAAGGATTAAAAATACATTCTGAGATGGAATTTTTGAACTTTGTCATTCAAGGCATCGGTGGTATTCATGGAGACACCTCGTTAGTTTCTAATTTCAGTTCAAACTGATACAGCAGAAACGTGACCTATTGAGTTACAACTATTACTTGTTTCAATTGTAAGGGAAACTTTATTTTTGAAGCAAACAGATGGATTGTATTGCATTATTTTGAGCTCTCAGAAGTAGTCTTTCTCATTTAACTGAGAATTCTGGAAACCTCTTGTGTAATAGGATGCAATAATAGTCCTCTTAAAACTACCACAGCCAGGGTAAATTTCAATTAGCACAATTTTCAACTCTACTTTATTTTCATCTAATAGTTATATGATAATGGGAAGGTTCATATTTTTATATGAAATATAAAAAAATATGAATTTGTGAATATATAGGAATATAATAATAAATGTATATTATTGTTTTAGATTAGCTTGACCAAGTATTGATTTTTATCATCTCTTTGAAGATCATTTTAATACAAGACTTTATATTTAGTGTTTTTTATGCATTATTATTATTTTTTTTTTTTTAAGATGAAATTGGTGTTAAATAAAACTGCTTTAATGTTTTGATTCAGATAATGATTTGATTTACTTACTGTCACAGTTGATTCTGTTGTCCAGTTCTTATCTTTTTAAGTCCTTCTATTTTCAGGTTCTGCTTTTCAGAAACCTTCTGCAGAGTTCATTAACTTACTTGATGGATTGCTTCAAAAGGATCCTCAGAAGAGGTAAACTGGTTGTTTGCATTGCCTTTTTCACATCTGGAAAAAAATAATAACTATGATAATATCTGGTGACAATGAAAAAGTAATTAATTTTCTCCTTCATAAAAGAAGACAGTGCATTTTCTCATGCAAACTTTATTTAATCAAAATATTAATTCTGCATAGTTTTCTTCTTTTGTATGTGGTGTTAAATAGATAACTGTTTAACAGGATGTTAGCTTTTCAAATTGGATGGCTTCAGTTTTCCAGAGCAATGGGCATATCTTTTATAAGACTTTAATTTATAGATGTTACACTTACATTTTTGTATAACATAATTATTTATAGAGTAATGTAAATAATGGGACTGTTTAAACTGTGTACTTAATCTTTAATCTCACCTCTCTGTGTTGTGTGAATGATCCATTTCAATTTTAGGCAAAACATTTTCTCTATAAGATAACTTATTTGTTCACCACATACCAACTAAGAACAGTAATAGTTGCTTCATAGCACCACTGGATTCAGAACGTAGCCTGATAAGCTTTTGTAGCTGTACTTTGCCACTGCTTTTTCAGTTTGCCTATTGCTTCTCAAAAGGCTCAACTGGACAGACATATTGCAACATCCATTCTGGAAAGACTCCCTTAGCCATTGTGACGGCGATTCTTCAGACAGCCAGGGCTCAAGGTACTTCATGTTTTAGCAGATGTCTTTCTGTGGTACATATGAACAAATAAATAAATCAATAGTACAGATTTAAAACATTTTTCTGTGAATTTTTCAGTCTTTGAATTTTGCTTAGGAGTTTAATTTTGTTAAATAATTGCTGAGTTAAGTTTTACACCATCCAGTGAGCAGTTTGGGGTGCTTAGGAATTACAGTATCCTATCAGTGTAAGAGTATCTGTTTCCTTTCTGTAGACTCATTTCTTCTAGCAACAGAATGCTATTTTTTTTTTTGTTTATATAACAATGATGAACAGTAATTTGACTTACAGTACTGTCCTTCAGAAGCTTTATTAGCACCTCATACATGAGTCAATTTCATCTTTATGTAAGTTTGCTTGTTCTTATGCATTAACATCAAGTCTTCAAAAAACCTATCAGCACATCATCTTAGGTTTTGTTAGCCTTGTGAATGTAGTTGACCCATATTCTTTGTTTATAGCATAAAGCATTAATCTAATGTTTTTATATTTAAATGTTAAATACTCTGCATTGCTATATAGGCAGAAACACCCAGTCCTTTTGTGAAAATAGGCTCTATTCACTGAATACTTAGGTTTCTTCCAGATGTCTGTTAATATTGCTGTTTTTAATTTCTTAATTTCCATTTAGAGTTGTTTGTTTGTTTTTAAACAATCTGTTGTTCTAAATATTTGAATGCTATTTCAGGTTGTATTCAGGGAACAAGTATGGAAATAGCTTTATTTTAGAACGCCACATGCTTCTGTGTTTTATCTATTTTTACATTCTATCTCACATTGTTGAAATACCTATTTCTGGAACCAGGGCTGCAGTATTTTTTGTTACTAATGTCTGTTCTAGTTTAATATGCTGCTCTTTGTCTTTTAATTTTATTACTACTTTTACCACCAGGGCAAATAATCGAGACTGTGAGTTTGTATCTCAAAATCAGAATTTATTCACAATATTAGTGAGACTTAGATCCACCTTTACCATACTGTATATCTGAGCAATTTCTCAGAGAATCAGAATAATAATTACCCACAAAATATTGGACTTCTTGACTTTACTTACTTGAGTCTTCTAATGATTCTGAAATTTTCACTAAGGCAGTAATTGGCACACATGAAGAACCAAGGACATGGTCCTGACATGCAAAAGAAGATCTGTACTTCTTCCTTTCAAAGTGTGAGCTCCACAGGCAAGGTTTATTTGAACCAGTTCCAGGTGAACAGTACAGGGAAATACAGAAGCAAAAGTGAAAAACTTGCTATTAAGGAAAAAAAAAAAAAAAAGTCTTATTGATCTTAATGCTTGATACAGGCTTTGATATTGAAAGTAAATTGGTTGTAAATTTTTTCTCTGAAGACTGAGCAATCTCTGAAACTTACAAAATTACCCTTGTGTATTCCAGGGTATAAATTTATTCCAATTTCTTCACTGCCAGTTGTACTAAGGGAGCTAGAGAGTTCTTTAATATTTTCCAAGTCGCTTGCTCAAAAACAACTTTTCATCATTGCCATTACCAATATAAAAAGTATTTGTAGCTCATATTGCAATAGGAGGATGATCTATGAGAATGACAGCTAAATTGCATGTTAATAGTTGCAATAAGTAATGGATACGATCAATCTGATCTCTTTTAAATCTTTTTAATTAATATTTCTTATTAAACAGCAATGAAGACTTGGAGTCATGGAATACCAAGGGGCCAGAAGATGCTTGCAAAAACCTATCATCTTCAAGAGCAGATAATAAGCTACCAAGCAATTCTTTCAAAATAGGTAATATTCATTATGTTATTTTGAATGGTTTTGTTGGTCTCACCACATGCTTCTTCCTTGTGTTCTGTTTATTTGAACATTTAGATTCAAGTTTGTTCTTTTTTCAGTAGAAAATCCGACTGAATTGCGCCCCAAAAATGCAGATGGTGGATCAAATGAATCCATATTTCTTCTGAGGTATGAAAATCAAAACAACAGTCAGAAAACCCTTGAAAGTCCTCTGAAAATATGAAAATATTTGTATGAAAATGAATAAAAACCCCAAACCAACAAACAAAACCCCACAACAGTGGCCTGCAGTGAGACTTAATCTGTATTCTGTTTCTTTTGAAGTTCTCGTCCTACTCCTAGAACCAGCACTGCAGTACAAGTAACTGATGTTAGTATTGCTCCAATCCAAAATTCTCCACAAAAGGATTCAAGCATGACAAGGGTGAGTAGAAAAACTAATATTAAGAGGCAGTGATATAATCATAGTCAAGATCTTAGCATGGAGACTACATCAAAGACACCTTTCTTTCTCAATCTGTAATTATAACAGAAAAGTAGTTCCTCCAGTAGTAATTCCTTTAGTGTGTAAAAATATTGAAGGAAAAAAAAAAAAGTAAAAGTAAATGTTTGCAAAGCTTCCAGTGTAGGAGTCAAATAAGATGTTTTGTCCCCCTTTAATTCAGTGCATAAAAGAGAGAGGGATTATCTTTTTTTTTTTTTTTTTTTTTTTTTTTTTTTTTTTTATCCATCTACATTTTGAACTTAAGTTCAAGTTTTTGTTTGTTTTTTAGAGTTTTGTCTTTCTATTTACATACTTGTTTTTCATAATTTTTAATTGCAAGGTCTAGGCTCTATCAATAACTACACAATTTAAAAGCAATTTAGAATATATTATTTACATGACCAAACTCTGTGGCATAATATTTAAGTGAAACATTATGGGAGTAAGTATAAATTTTCTTCTTTTGTGCAAAACGGTATTTCAGAAAACTTTGTTCTTGTTCCAGGCTAAAAATGTGTGCTCAAGTCAGCAGGATATGGAGTCAGCATTGAAAGAGCTCATTTACACTGAATCTGATCTTATCATAACACCAATCATTGACAATCCAAAGGTATAGCAAAATAAATTATAAGATTCAGGAACTTGTGGGTGAGGCTAGTTTTGCAGATAAGTCTTTAAATCAGGGTGAAACTCATTTCCTGTGTTTTATAATTCAAATTTTAAAGCAGTTCCACCCAGTCATCTGGCAAGCTCTCATGCAAGTTTTTAGCTGTCTTTTACAGTCCTATTGTATTGTTAATTTGGAGAATAGAGTTATTTTGGGGTTTTAAAGTAATGTCAAATAATGTCTTACAATAAATAGAATAAATAGAAGCTATTAAATGCTGTGTTCAGTGGTTTTGTAGATCTGTTTTCTGATAATTTGCTTTAATATCTATTACTTAAATGACAACAAAGCTGAGTGTGTTTTGGTATAAAGAAAACAAAGCTGTCCATGAAGCCACATAGTTCAGGTCATTCTCTGAGTTTTAGATATAGTATTTCTAAAAAGCATCTAAAAAACTCGATTTCTCTGGAATGGAAGGCCTGAAGTTGTAAGAACCACAGAATGGCTTGGGTTGGGCAGGGCCTCACAGACCATCTAGTCCCAACCCCCCTGCCATGGGCAGAGTTACCAGGCACTGGATCGCGCTGCCCAGGAACCCACCCAGCCTGGCCTTGAAATCCTTCAGGGCTGAGGCATCCACAACTTCTTTGGGCAGCCCGTGCCAGTGCCTCACCACACTCTGAAGAGTTTCTTCTTAACATCTAACCTAAATTTCCCTTTGTTCAGCTTAAATCCATTCTCCCTTGTCCTACCACTAGCTATATATGTAAAAAGTTAATCCTCCTCCTCCCTATAAGCTCCTTTCCAGTATTGAAAAATGCCTCAGGGGTACGCACTGATTTGTACAGCCATCCTGTCCTATTTTTGTGTCCTTGTTTTCATGTTTGACTGCTGAAAAACTTTCAGTAACACATTAAAACTAGTTGTGATGTTTATTTCTCCAGATAATGAAGCAAATGCCAGTTAGATTTGACTCAAAAGCTTTACATATACCAGCATATTCAGGTATGGCTCTGCTGACACAGAAACGTTCATTCTGTATATGGTAGTGCAACTGTTGCAAGATTGTAAATCTTTAAATCTGTAGATTTGTAAATCAGCTGAGGTGAGAATTCAGAACTGGTTTTCCTGAAGTTGAGAAAGTTATATTCTTAACTAGACCAAAAATGAGTAGAATTTTCAAGTGCTGACAGCTACATATATATATATATACCCTTTCTTCTGCCGTTTTATAAGCCATACTTAAAAGCTTTAAAAAATAAGACAGCCAACTTTTTTTTAGCATGGAAAAACAGAAGTTTGTTTGTTTGTAAAATACTGAGGTATTCAACCATATTAAGATTTGACAAAGTTAAGGAAGCAAAAGAAAACAGGATGTTGAAAAGTGTAGTGTTGATGAGCTATAATACTTGATAGCCTGGCAGTCTTGTGTGTAATTGTGAAATGTTCCCAATGGACAGTGTAGATTAGTGGATACTTTTTTGCTTTGTCGTGTTTTTAACCTCAGACAAGTCTATTATTTATGGAAACTATTTCCTCTGATATATTTTGGGTAGTATTGTTTGGCTTTAGAGTGCTTGAAGAGGAATGTTAGGCAAGTAGTTACTCCTAGAATTCAGATAGCACCTCTACCTAAACAAAGTTTCTTGTTTTTTTCTTTCCCTAACAAACTGACTCTCCATACTTTAAAGGAATTTGATAGTTGGAGAAGAATAGAACGTCCCCTAAACAAGATTGTAGTAACAAAAAGCATTCTGGATTTGGAAAGAATGGCCACGTTCAAATACCTGAGCAAGTGCTGTTTCATTTAATTTAGTGTTCAGGCATCCAAACTATCAGGCAGATATTCTGATGTGTTTAGCTGTTATTGTCTGTATTTATTTAATAAGGGACAGGTGTTTTTTTTTTTGTTGTTTTTTTTTTGTTTTTTTTCTGTGGTTGTAAATATTCTATGGTTATAGCCTTTTTTTTTCTGATTTGTTTTCTAAGATAATGAATTTGGTGCTGCTTACCAACACTTTTTCCTTACCATTAAAAAAAAATATGGAGTAAAAGATGAATACCTGAAATTCATACTGCCTTTCACCTTTGCTAACGTGAACTGTTCATTAGACAGTGTTACTTGCATATAAAATAGATAGAAAGGATGTCCTTAGATATTCTGTATTGGAGCACACCAGGATGGCAGATAAGCTTTTATTAAGTTACTGACCAAAACTGTGATTACTAAGGTGAACTGAATTTAGTCCTTGAGACTGATAAGGAAGTATTTGGGAAGTTCAGTTCCCATACAGTGATCAGTGAGATGATGATTACGATCGTTCTCCTAGCAGCTGTTGACTTCTATTCCTCTTGAAGTCATCTGTGTTCAGTTACTCTTAAGGTTTAACCAGATGGGTACTTGTCTATATGAAAATTAATCAGTATTTTAGGCTTGTTGCAATTGCTTCTGAGAGAATTTTGATGACAGTCATTATTTTTTACCTCAACTTTGCTGTAAAGAAACAGTGTGAAATATTTGGAATTCTAGTTAGATTAAAATTTTCTAGCTTATTTATTCATGCTGATGTTATTTCTAGTGTATTAAAACAACATAAAAGATCTTTAACTACTTGTTTGCTTCTTGTGCTAGCTGAGAAGTTGTCATCTCTGAAGGATGTGGACTGGAATGACTTCTTGCACCAAGCATGTTTGTTGCTTGATTCCACTGAGAAGAATCCAGGAGCAGCACGTTCTAAACTGAATTTACTGTCTTACCTCTGTACTGTGGCTGGCCACAAGGAAGCTGCAAGCAGGCTAATTAACTCTCAGCTGGTAAATAATAAAGCTCTGAAGGAATCAATATGGTTTATGTAGCATTGACACTGTAGCAAAAATTGGCTGCATTTAGTTATATTTAAAAAGCAAAACAACGACAACAAAAAACCCTACTGCACCCTAGTGAAGAAAAAAGGCAAGTGAAGTATAAACCAAAAAAAAAAAAACAACCCCCAAAATGTATTGAATTCCATGTCTGTTTTCCTAATGGAGAATTGCTCTAAGTATTATTCTATTATCACTGGAGAATTACTATTAATTATTTTTAAAACAGTCCAATAACTGAATCGCTGATTAGCAGAAGATTTTAGAAATAAGTGCTGATTGTGCATTAACTCTCAATTCATTGTTTTAGCATTTGGCAACTTTTTCACTTCTTAAGTAATTATTTGATAATACTGTATGATAATCTATTTTTCAAAATGAAAGCATCAGTTTTTCCATTGTATGGTGATACTCACATAGAAAATAATGCTCATTTTCATAAGCTGGTATATGTTTATCATTTTGGCTTAAGGGAGGAATGTCGGGAAAAATGCCATTTTTACATTCAGGAATTCTGTTCTTAATTGATACGCTGGGCAATGTCTGCAGTGTTTGCCTATCATTGGCTAATATTGGGTTGTTTTTTTTTTTTTGTTTTTTTTTTTTTTACAAATGCCATCCAAAAACATTTTACATAATTGCAAGTATTTTGTTCTTTTATATTTATCACTGGAATGCATCAGATCACTCTACCATTCGTATTTGCTTATCTTCTTCAAATTATAGTTTCCAGTGTTAATACAGCAGCTGCGTGCCGCCACCAACTGGGATATGTAAGTAACAATTATGTTACATCAATTTCTTCAAATGTGCTATTATTACTGAATTTTATTAGGATGTACTTCTTCACAGTTTTTAAGGAGTTTTTTTTTAGCCTTTCAAACCACTGTGGTACTTGATTGGCAGCATGATGTAAGTAACATTATTTTTCTGTTTGTTTGTTTGTTTTGGCATTGTATTAAAATACTGCACTTTTGTGAGATCTAAACTTATATTAAATGTCTAAAATTTTACCTGAAAGCTGTATGACTTACTGTGTCAAATATTATTATTTAAATTGCTGAATAAACCAAGCCATTCCATAATTATAGGAAAATATTTCTAATGATAGTTTTTTTAAATGTTAGAAATATTTGAAGCTGGTAGTGCCCTCTGCTGCTCATTTAATAAGTGTTGATATTACTGCTTATTTTTTCTTTAATGAAGCATTTAAAGCTGATTTGCTGCAATACATTTAATTCTTTGTTTTGTCAGCTGTACTAAAATGTTTATAAGGATCTGTTGGGGGGGGGTTCAGTATTTTAAGAAAACTGAGTGGGAGCATGGCTGATTGTGAGGACTGTAAAAAACTAAAGAATCTCCATTTTTTGTTGCTGTAGGGTAAAAATGTATCTTTTTGCATGAATTTATTGCTAAATTAAGCTGAACTACAGACAGAATAAAGTAGTACATTTATAAAAAAAAAAAAAAAAAAAAAAAAAAAGACAAAACTCACCTTTAAATAGCACTTGAATAGTTCCTGCCCTTAGTGATCTGTACAAAATAGATGTAGGCAGGAAAAAATGGTTTTTGTCATGTTTTGGAAACAGTTCTCCTTTACCTGAAAAAAATGTATTTCATATGCAGACGTGCTAAAGTGGCTCGAGTGATTGGTTTGCTGGCACTGCACACGTCTGAGCTTGGAGAAAACATACCTGTGTCTGAGGTGACTTTCCATTTCATTTTTTTAAATGTTATAAATGCTTTTACTTGTATGTCAGATTTTCACTGCTTTGTTTCCTCCGTATGTGAAAAGGGAAGTAATTCAATTAAATACATAAACCTGCGTGTTCATTCTGTGTAGCTGTGGCTGTGATATTTAGAAAACTCTGGGAATGCTGGAGTATGAAAAATTGCAGCCTCTTTTTCTTCTCCTTTACAGAATATCAAGTAGTCACTGTCGTACTTGTGTTTTGTGTGTGTATGTACAAAGAAAGTGTTGACATGTTTTGCTATGTGGAAGTGCAGTCCCTGTAAAAATAGTACAGCTGCTTCTTACACATCTTTTTTCCCCTCTAGAAGAAGTAACGGAGTTGGGATTCATTTGAGATTTCTCTCAGTTCTTAAAGAATGTGTATAATGAAAAGTCAAGTGATTTTCTATGGAGATGAAAGCAATTTTGATTTTTCTGTTCATTTTGTATTCTCAGCAGCTGACTCAAACTGAAGAACAATTAACAGATCTTACTGGTTGTTGTTTTTTTTTTTTTTTTTTTTTTTTTTTTTAAATTTTACATGTGATACATACACGCTGCACAGCATAACAGTATCTGCTTTTCAATATCTGTTTAAGCTGTGAAGCTGACCTTGTTTTTGCTCTGTGAGATACAGTCAGTATTTGAATGTGAGAAATCCAACTACTTGTCCCACTTTGCAAATACAAAATGTAGTAGTTCAGTTAAAGTTCCTTCAAAAACCATTGAGTCCATCTGTCTGACCATGTCAGAGCTAACCAAAAGCTAAGGCATGTACCCTACAGCCTAAGTATTTCTGTTCCCAAATATGAAAAGTCAGTTCAGAATTGCATGAAAATGCAGAATTACTGTTGCCCTATGCATGCTGTGCTATGTCTACTAAGTTTTCTTTTCCATTATTATTGCAGCATTACAATCCCTTTATAGTGTTGTTACTTCAGTATTCACTCATCCAGTTGTTTGTGATTTCTTTTGTACTTTTAGAAGTAGCAGGTGTCCTCAGAGAGACTCGTGCAGGACAGCAATGCTGACTGTTTCCTGTTAAAATGTTTCTTCGTATCTACCCTTAATTTCCTGGTTTTTACCCAGTTATGCATTTATTTGAGGACATTTCCTCTATTTTTGAAGTTAAATTGCACCATTCATCTTTTGTTTTTGTTGTTTAGATAGCTTGTTAAATAGCAGCAATGATGAGCTGCAGAAGTAGAATAATTTTAGGAAAGAAAAGAAGCCTCGTCCTTACTTCACATAGTAAAGCGAATGTGCTTTGTGCCAAAAGAATTAACAGTTGTCCTCCTCCTGCGCGGCCACGCGCAGTACCCCCAAAGGAAAATAGATGTTTTTAAGGCTCTCATTATTACATACGTAACCACTAGAGGTCAGTAAAACACAAAAATTAAATGCAAGTCTGCTACTGTTTCTCACAACATGTGCTGGAAAAGTCTAGATGTATATATGACAGTGGAACTGCGTATGATTTTGATTCTTCTCATATTCTAAAGCTGCTGATATATTTTAATGTGAATTCATTTGCAATTGGTCTATTTCCAGTTAAGTGTATTTTAGAACAGTACCACGTTGAATAGAGAGACTGACCTCAGAATATAAAAGAGAAATTGATCTCTTGTACATTTATTCTTCAAGTCAGAATGAAGACATTTTGAGCGATTTCTTTTTACCTGGCAGTTGCAATAAAAACTTGTTGAGGCACTTGCTGAAGATTAGTTGCTTTCTGATCTACTAATGGTTGAGTTTTTTGGTATTTTTTTCCTATGGAGTCGCCTTTTACAAATCAGAAATATATTTTTTTTCTTATTTTTTCCCTAGTTATCTTGGTAAAAGAGCTAAAGCTTCCTACTTAGGGTTTGAAACTGGTTCTTGCAGAATTAACTGCTTGTGCTTAGAAAAATCTGTTTACCCTTATTTTTGTAGTTAGAGAGGCTTGCTTCTATGTATGTCTAATTTATCTTATTGATGACAAGAAACTGTTGTTCTTTCCTCTCCGTGAATATGTAGTGTTTCCCTCTGGATAGGCACATCTACTGTGATGTAAATCTCTGCCTTCTCCTTGAGGATCAGTAAAATAAAAGGTGATCATAGAGGAATCTCACCAAATTTTTTTGTGTCAGGGAGCAGCATCCTTCTTTGTCAGGTATAGGACCAGTTTTCCCTCACTTAAGGAATCACTTTCTGTTCCCCTGCTTTTTGGAGGCAAAATCTTTCTTGTTGTTTCTCTCTTTAAAATCTGAGTGGAAATATCAGTCTCATGCTATGACCTAGGCAGCTGTGCCTTTTAACCTACAGACATGGGTCCATTGCTTTGCTGGGAGAGGATTTGGAGACCCTGCTACATGATTTTCTCACCTGCAAGTTTCTTTGCAAAGCCTTTGGCTTATGAAACTCCATGGACAAATTAATGAACTTTATATTCCATGTAGAATGGCAGAGCACCTCTAATACTCTAAAACTTAGAACTTCATTCTTTTGTGAAAGCACTGGAGTATCCTGATGTGTTTTTATCCAAGTTGAAACTGCATATAACTTGAGCCTTTTTATTTCTCATTCTTGTGGTACAATTTGCTAGTTGTTCTGTACAACTTACATTGCATAGCTGCATCATTATAAGTTCAGCTTTACAGTTCCTTTTTCTAACTAGTCTGAGTCCTACTTTTGGAATAGGTATACAGTTTGTTCTCATTAAAATTCTCATACAGTGGTGACTTTAAGTCCTGTTCCTGGCTTCTCTCTGATTATTCCTGTTTCTAGGCCTATACACATCTGCCTGTACTCTAAGGAGATTCAAATTAGAATAGAAGGCTTTATTTGAACTTTTATTCCAACCTCTTTAGTTTTGCTATTTTTATTGTAAAAGGCTTATTGAAATCTGCTCACAAGTGATCATATTTGAGTTTATCCTTGTCTATTTCCTCCAATGGCATTTATCTTAATATACACTGTTTCTTCTTATGCAAAAATAATACCAATTTAAAAAAACACCCAAACTTTAGGAAATAGACACAAGCTAATGATAAGCTGTATCAGGGTATATGCATAGGAGGACTTGCAGATTAGCATGCACACTCGTCTGCTGTTTTGCAAAATGATTGTGATGAAAATTTCTCTTTCTAGCATAACAATGTCCATTTGACATTTTGTAGAGAAAGCATGGCTGCACATTCTTTGCTGTTGAGAGTGCTGTGTTTAGTCAATGTATCAAAATGCATACAAGTATTTGACTCGAGTCAGCGCTGCCTTCCCCATAGCTTGGTGTCAGTTGATACAGCATTAATAGTGTGCTGATGGTTTGGTTGTTGCTGAGTGGTGGCTGTGCACCTAGGGCTTCTCCACAGTATTTCCATATTACATAGTCATTTGTTTTCATATTACACAGTCATTTGCTCTCTTAGTTGACTGTTTATATATTACTGCAGTTAATAAAATGGTTCTTACAAAGATGTTAAATAATGACTTCTTTAGCAGTACAGATAGAGTATTTGAAGCTGAAGATCTCTGTATTTCACTATTAGAGTGAAACAACAATCGTATGTGGTATAAAATGCAGCTGCTCAAGCTGTTTATGACATTTTAGTAATTCCTTTTTTCTTCTGTCCATTGTAATATAAATATACAGTGGGAAGTTCTAAGTCTTCCTTAATTAAATTTTTTTTAAAAATATATTTAAAAGTAATATTTTAGCTATTTTTTCACTATAAAATAATCACTTTCTAAGTAATAATGTAGAAGTTATACTTCTGGATTTAAATCTCCAGTTATTCATATGTCCTAAATTATTCCCAGCTAGCTTTTACTGGAGAAAAACCCCAATTGAAGGGAGCTTACTGCATGGCAGCTGTCTAACCAGTAATTTCTTTTAATGTTAACAGTAATTAACATATACTGAGGACTGAATTTGCTCCAACATTTTGAGGTAGATAGTTCATCTTTTTTTTTTTTTTTTTTCTTCCCATTGAGAACAGGAAATATGCAAAGAAATTTCATGGCCCAGTAGTTACTGTTAAAGTAGGGTGAGCACAAATATTAGGCTGATAATGCAGCGTTGACTCTATAATCATTGTTTTCCCTTCAATTTGGCTGCATAGAAAACTTCAAACTAATTACATAAATGTTTTAATTTTCTTATTCCTAAATCTACTGATTTAATTTTAGACTAAGGGCAAATATTGTTTTTAATAAGTATAAGAGAAGAAGTTACTTAATGATTTCGTTTTTGCGAATCATATTTTCTGAGGGCTGCAAAGAATAAAACCTGAAAACTATTTTGATTTGGAAGGCAGTTGGAGGATTATGGAGTAGGATTTATATTTTTTAACTTTATCCTAGGCTGATAAACTGTTTCTGTTAACTTCCAAAGGAAAATGGTGTTTACTTGAAGAGTAGCATGTAGCTGCCTTTGTTTCGTTTTCCTGTCTGTTGTACTATGTGGGCTCTTGCTGAACTCATTTTAGTTTGTATCTCCTTCAGCATGACTTTCATGAGGTTTTAGAATATACACTCGTGTCTTGTTCTGTGTGTGCATAAAATAATTTGCCCTTATTGATGGTATTTGGGAATCTGAATGGAAAATATTCAGTGATTTCTCAGAGCTTTTCATATGTTCTACATATGTACACGCACTGTAAAAAATGTGCAAATTTTAATTTTTTTAACACAAACACAGAAGAGGAAGCTCAAATTCTGGTTAGCCAACATAATGTGACCTGCAGTTATTTTCGTGAAAACATAAGGGTGGCTTTCTGCAGCACTGAAAATGCAGAGTCAGCCTGTCAGCTGTCCTAAATGAATGTGATATTAAGAAATAAAGTAGAAGCAACTTTCCTGGTAAGCTGCCTTTGGGAATACACCTCTACTTTTCTTTGTAAAGCCTCTGCCCTTGAGGGCACTGAGTGCTGTTTCACAGAGGAATAACAATTTTGGAGCACTGAGAACACTTACAAGGTGCAGACCCTTTTGTA